GCTGTTTGGAGATGACAGAAAGTGGCAAATGGAACGACATTGGCTGTAATCAGTTGCGTAAACCAATCTGCTCTTCCGTCAGAGGTGAGGCATTCATTTCACTCATTCATTTTTACATCCGTCCTTCTTCTTTTGCTTCTTCTGAAAAAATATAGTAGAGAAATTTGACGATTGACAATTTGGATTTATTACAATTTTTGTCACTGTCAAGTTGTTTGGATGTTTGTAGAGGACCCAAATGGAGAGACGGAAGCAGAGGTGGTTTCCTGTAGGTTTAAGGATGAACTTCATGGCAAAAGAAGCATAAATCCAGGCTGAACTGTCAGGGAGGTTAGGAACCAAAAGAAGGAAACACTCTGGAGGAACTTCCAGCAACAAAGAACTGCAGAGGAGGAGTAGATATGGGAGACAGAGCAATGAGGGAAGTCATCAGCTAATTGGGAGCAGGTGTGGACAGAAGCAGCTGAGGGGAAAGGAGATGGGAAACAAAGGCGACCTTCATACTGCAGACCTTAATGTTCAGTTCAGATTTTTTTTTGAAAATCCGGATCTTTTGCATAGTCGTTTCCAAATATATGTGATTTGTATGTGATCTCCTGTGTGAATCCAGTCCACACGTGTCCCACCTGCACAGGAGAGGATGCAATGACATCACATGCAGCAACGTGCTCCGTATTTATGGAAGCAAACATGCATGGTAGTGCTGGAGCGCATCTAGTGATCTTGCATTTGTTTCCCAACATAGGCCACTGCATCAACAACACAACCTTTTGAAGAAAGTTGAAAATAAAGACTGCTCTCTGCATCATTTATCCGCCACGGTTGTTTTTATTTCCGCTTCTGTCATAAAATGGGACAGATGGACTCAGTTTTCAAGGTGAGACAGTCAGTAGGAAAGGTTTAAATGTTTATTAAAATAAAAACTTAGAAGAGAAGCGCGCTGCTGTGGATCTGAGGGTGGCGGTAAGTGACCACGATCATCTGACAAAAGATGATAATCTCAGTGAGTCTCTTACCTGGTTTCACAGTTAAGTCCATCTCCCTAGAAAGGCGATGCTCTGGGCATGCGTCGCCCAGAGCATCCCTGATGCTGCAGCCCCGGAGAACTTGCAGGAAGCCGATTCAGATCAGGGAAAGAAAGAGCAGACAGGAACAGTTCAGAAATCCAGAAAACCTCGCTCTATCAGAGGTTCCCCTCCCAAAAAAACAGGAGCAGACGGATCCAGACTTCCAGGAATCCACAGAGTCCAGAGTTCAATGGCCCAGACATACACGCACAGATGCAGACGGGAAGGCTCAGATGCAGACGGGCAGTCTCAGATGCAGACGGGCAGTCTCAGATGCAGACGGGCAGGCTCAGATGCAGACGGGCAGGCTCAAATGCAGACGGGCAGGCTCAGATGCAGACGGGAAGGCTCAGATGCAGACGGGCAGGCTCAGATGCAGACGGGAAGGCTCAGATGCAGACGGGCAGGCTCAGATGCAGACGGGCAGGCTCAGATGCAGACGGGAAGGCTCAGATGCAGACGGGAAGGCTCAGATGCAGACGGGAAGGCTCAGATGCAGACGGGCAGGCTCAGATGCAGACGGGCAGGCTCAGATGCAGACGGGCAGGCTCAGTGGTTGAGGTAACAGAGACAAGACATTGTACCAGGATTCCAGCAGGACTTTAAACTGGTCTACTCCTAGGAGCCAGGCTTATGGGAATAAAACCAACCCAGCCAAAACCCTGAGGGCTCCGCGGAGAAGGATCAGGACATGATCAAAAGACAGGACAAACACTAAAACCCTCTCACTCCACTGGCTGCCAGGAACCAGCACATGAACCACAGAATAAATAAAACAGAAAAACTAACAGGCATAAACAAACAGGCAGCAAACAATGATCTGCCCCGATAGCTGAAACTGAGCCCAATGTCAGGTGGCAGGTGGAGGAGATGAGCAGTGATGGGAGGAACGCCGTTGAAAGTGACGGCGTTACTAACGCTGTTACCTTGTTTTAGTAACGAGTAATCTAACTAATTACTGTAACTATAACGCTCTTAAAAAACTTCCCACCCATGAGTAGAGGTAATGCAGCCTTATGATATTTACGCCGCGTCAGATAGCGTTCCCCCCTTGTTAAGCAGGGGGAACGCTATCTGACGGGGTTTATAGGCCCGTCAGATAGCGTTCCCCCCTTGTTAAGCAGGGGGAACGCTATCTGACGGGGTTTATAGGCCCGTCAGATAGCGTTCCCCCCTGATGTCATTTACGTTGAGTTGCAATAAATGCTAAACTCTCTGCAGGTTCTTGTCTTTGTCGCCCGCACTATTCAGCTGGCTTTGAAACACACGGCGAGAAGGTGGGGGCTGGGTGGGGAAGGTTACGGGGGCGAGAAACGCAAAAGTAACGCAATAGTTACTTTTACTAGTAACTAGTTACTTTTATTGTGGAGTAACTCAGTTAGTAAATCAGTTATTTTTTGGGAGAAGTAACTAGTAACTATAACTAATGACTTTTTCAAAGTAACGTGCCCAACACTGGAGATGAGTGACAATTAGGAGCTGGACAGAGTTAAGCAGCTGAGAGGCATCAATAAAGGTAAGCTATCAGGCCAGATCGTCACAGCTTCTTCATAGAAAGACGCAGAATAGTGACCTTTGTTGACCACTAATGACGTTCAGGTCAGATGAATGCGACCCGGCCGTTCAGACACAGGTCGCAATTGAAAAGGTCAGGTTTGTATCGTATTCAGAGAGCCAAGTGGCCTGGGTCACACTGGAAAGAAATTGGGTTTGTGTTGTTCTGACTGTCATGAAAAGATGTAGCCTGATAATCCAGAGTAAATGTGAGATTAAATGTGTAATCTAGTCTGGCCCCGATGAATGAGACATCGGAAGATTGTTGATGAGAACAACCTGTTGTCTTTCAAACCATGTCTGTGCCTATTGGCCAACGCTCTGACCAATGAGAGCCACTGACTGTGACGTAGAGAGCGCAACAGGAAGCTGGTGGGGGAGAGAAAACAAAAACGGAGAATACGTCCTTCTTAAAAATGAATGAGCATAAAGCCTCTTCCTGCTCACGTTTCAATGAAAACCCAAAGTCTGATCCTTCCAAAATCGCCATCAGAGGCAGCAGTCCTTCACACACGACTATGCCGAGAGAGGGCCGCTGCACACGGGCTAACGTTAGCCCTGGCTGCCGTTAGCTTCAGAACTCTGCTGGTTGCCGTGTCCTCTGAACTTCGGAAATAGTGTTTTTAATTACACATGAAATCGGTAAATGGACCATATAGTGATACTTTAAAGTATGATATTCTCGCCTCAAGTGATCTTAAAATGTACTTTTATTGAACAACAGCAACAGAAAGAAAACTTTTAACTTCCAATAAGCACTCCATTGGAAGCCACTGTTCAATAGTTGTTGCCATCTTCCTTGTTGTGTTTTCTCCAGTGTCGTACAGCTTTGTCGCCACGCCCTCAAAACCCCGCCTGCTTTGCATCCAAAAATTCAAAACACATCTCTGCATTGTGATTGGCCCGCCAGTTGTAGGGCTTGGGGCATTGATCGAGGCTAGACCACTGCAGGCAAAAAGGATTTTGGCTGCTGGCGGGGGGGGGGGGGGGGGGGGGGGGGGGGGCTAGTTTACTAGGTAATAACATAAATAAAGCAAAAGGAGAATATATATAGAAAATAAATTGTGAGCAAGGGGAAACCTAGAGTATAGGTGAAATGGAGATAACTGACAAAACACCATAAACTAAGAATCATTTCATAAAAGATTTAATTCTTAACAGTATAAACAGAATAAGATAAATCCAAGCCTAATTGAAAACCCAAAGGAAACTAAACAGAACCAACAATCCCAGAACGGCACATCAGAACACTTTTCACCACCTCTGGTTTATGGGACACAAATAAAACTTTTCTGTAAGAAAAAATCAAATATTTTTTTGCTTTTTAAATTTTCTTTATTAGAAGACAATTTATATTGTCAAAAGACTTCAAATATGAGCCAGTTTCTCTCCAAAAAGCATGTTTTTAGTTCTACCATGAGAACACTGAGTCTGAGGAGTGTTGGGTTCAAAAATGTAGGTTTGTAAAAGAAGAACTGAAATACACAGTAAGGGATTTTCACACAGCTCCTGCAGGAGGAGAGACAGTTGCACCCAAGACTCAACACTCTGTCTGTCAGAGTCTTGGTCTGTTTGTTTCTGTCTTTCTTGGTTTTTCATTTGTTGTCCTCTGCTGCCCTCTTGTGTCCTCCCTTGCTCTGTTTTTCTGTTCTGCCCTCACCTGTTTTCAATCCCCTCGTTAGCCCTCTCTTTGTCTCTGTCCCCTTTAAAAGCCCTCCCTCTTCAGTTCCTGTTTGCTGGATCCTTCTTTCATGAGAAGGTGTTTGTTTGGAGGACCCAAATGCAGAGACCAGTTGGCAGAGGTGAATTAAAGTCGGTTTATTAAGGTTCACAGGTCCAGGGGCAGGAATCAAAGTCCAACAGAAAAACAACAAACGCACCTGAACCAAGGAGTCGGGTAAACCAAAACTAGGAGCCAGGGAGAGACGAGGTACACAGAAAGAAGTTAGACGAGGAACAAATGGAAAACCAAGAAAAACAGGAACAAACAGACCAAGACTCTGACACTGTCTCCCCCGGACCTCCTCTGCAGAGCGTTTTATTAACAGAACATGACACATGGTTACAAACAGAGTATTGTTCTGACAGAACAATTGATCAGTTAATAAAGACAGGATGCTCTACTGGCTGTAATCACAAGGCAGAGCTCTCCTCCTGATTGAATCATAAGACAGAGTGAAGCATCTCATTTCTAAAATGTTTAATATGAACACACATTCATCTTATAATCATCATTGAATAAACCTAACAAGGAGTTAATATCTTATCTGCAGCTACAAACAGCTGCAGATTCAGCATCTGAAGGCTAAGATCTGGCATTAAGGTCAGAGCGATGGCATGTCCACCATCAGCCTCTCTCTGTCTTCTATTTCAGGGCAGACGGCAACGTTTACTGTTGTTGCCTCCTTAATGACCTGGACTCAGGCTCAGAGCCACTGCAGAAGCCACTACACTGACCTGGCCAGCGTGAAAAGCTCCACTGACAACGACAAGATAAAGGCAATTAAGCCCGCGGAGGAAGCCGTTTGGCTCGGGCTATTCAGAGACCAGTGGAAGTGGTCCAATGGATCCCCGTTGGCATACACTTACTGGGTGTCCGGACAACCCAATGGTCCCACTGAGAGCTGTGCTGCCACCCACTTTGACCAGTCTGGAGGCTGGGTGGACTGGAAATGTCACGAGACTAAAGCTTTCATCTGCTTCCATGGTGAGTCTCTGTCTTTATTTTCAGAGAGGGATTTGATGCCGAAATCAAAAAACATAGAAAACCAAACATAGAGTTTCTTCCAACAGAAACGATGCCACTGATGAAATTCTGTGTCCTTCTACAGATGTTCCTTCTTCAAACCATGTGGTGAAGATAAAGCTGGCGGGGAGCTCCACTGTGAACCTGCAGGATGCTGCTGTGCAGGAAGGCCTGCTGAACCAGGTCCAAGAACATCTCTCCTTAGTCTGATAGCATCCTGGGTGCACTTCTAGGTTTACTCATATTATAACAGGTTTGAAGCTAGACGCCACGACCGGAGGCGTAGCCAGAACATTTTAATAGGGGTGGTCAGTCAAAAACCAATGTAAGCTGAGAATGTAAAACGGATCGGCGCCAGAACCTCAGGGTTTCATCTACTCTGTTCCAACAGGAACGAGCAAAACATCCGTATTTTCTAAATAAAGACAAACTAAACTTTCCTAAAGCCTTTGGATTACAAATAGATGCATATATTTCAGCATCCAAGCTGTCTAAATAAAAGGTATAGTGGACAAAATGTCTGGGGGGAAAACATCTATTCTATTGTTGTTACTTACTTTTATGAAAAATTGTTCTGCATAACATTATTATTACATGGACTAATATCTACATTAAATTGATTTTCAGTTATTAAAGTAGGTATTTATCTAAGATTTCACTGAAAACTCCTTATTGATTTGAAGAGACACTTAATTTTCTCCTTTCTCTATATAACACAAAATTAGGGTGTTAAAAGAGCATGAATTCTGTACATATCGACTTTAATGTTAGCATGTTGATGTGCATAAATAATCAAGTTACTATTAATATATGAAAAATTTAAATGTTTAATAAGTTTAAACATTCCTATTGATAGTATTACTGCTGCCGTCTGTATTAGAGGGTGAAAAAAATGGTAGGGATGGTCATTGATTGTCTGCGGTGGCCATTGCCACCCCTGGCCCCCCATCTAGCTCCGCCCCTGGCCATGACTGATGAGGAACTGACACCGAATGGATGTCAACCTTCAGATAACTGACCTGGAACTGACGGCAGACGCTGGCCTATGTACTCGTGGCATGTCTACGTGTTTCAGCGTCCTTCATAACTTTCCCAACGTATGCCGGCATTTTTGACAGATTTTTCGTACATCAGGCGTACGCTGGTCTAAATCGTCAAGGTGTGACAGCAACTTCAGTCCTAAAAACTTTACAGCTCCTCTGGCAATGATCCTGATTTTCCATCAACCAAGGGCTGAAATGGTGGTGGGGCTGCACAAATATTACAGAAAAACTGAGAAAAGAATGGAGGGTAGGTCTGAAAGCAGCAGTTATGAAGATGAAGTCCGGGTATCACAGTGTTTGCAGAAGAAATGCAGGAAATGTTCTTTTCTCTATTCTGTGAGGTCATGCAATGCCTGATAATTCTTTACTGCGACTACAGGTGTTAGTTATTTTCTTTTTCTCCCAGTGACATGACGCGCTTATTTTAAACTTAACTCAAGAGCATCAGTAATTATTCATAAGTTAATAATTCAGATGTAACAGAGCCTGATTTTTCTGAATTGTTATAATAATTTCAGCTCAAAGAGAAGCTGCAGATGCAGGGAGTGACTGCAGACATCAGACTGGGCTGGAAGCGGCGGCGGGATGGAAACGTCTTCTACCAGGAGAAGCAGGACGACCAGAACTGAAGCTTGGAGACGGTGGAAAGAAAGTCTGGTTCAATAAGAACCCAAAACAATCTTTCAGTGCAAATTAGATATTATCTACGTATAGATGACTTTATGCATGGTTACAGGGATTATAGCGGCTAACCCTTTGGGCCCGGCGGACTCGGTACCAGCTTCTGATACCTGCTCATGTTTATCTATTAATAGAAATGGCCACAACACAGTCACATGGTGTTTCATCCACACGCCTTTCAAAATGGGGTTTTAAAATTTCTAAAACTGGTTTCAAAAAATGTTTTTTTCACAAATACTTTTTGCTTTGTATCTGTGTAAAAAATAAAATGAGATTTAAAAATCCGCCTAACATGTTTGGGGAGTTTATGCGCTTCATTGGGTTGCCCAGTTTGATCCCCACTGCCTCCGCTATGGGTTCCTGATCAAAACCCTTAACCCCCGACTGCTCCCCAGGCGCCGCTCAATGGCAGCCCACTGATCCCCAAGGGGAGGAGTTCAATGCAGAGAGTTCATGTCCCAATGTGGGACAATAAATGGATTTACATATTTTGACTCTGCAGGAGTAACGCAGCAGCAGTTATTATTTTTAGCCCCGCCCCCTAATGGCCGCCATCAGTTGAAACTAGGGGCGTTTCTCAATATGCCTTCTTGAGCGTTCTCGTGTGCTCGTGTGCTCGTGACACGTCATCAGCCTCAGCCCGTTCCGTTCCAATTCTCGAGAACGCCAGATCGAGAACGCACCGAATCCCCAGATGTTGTTCTCGCCCCGCCCTCTTTACCCAGCATGCATCAGAGCAGGCTTGTGCGTTCTTCAGACTGACCGCTTCCCCAGAATGCCCCGCGGCCGCAGCTTGATTCCAGACAGCGCTCACAGTGTTAAGTTAAACATTCCCTTTTCTGCTGCTGTTGTTCTTCAAAAGTACGTTTTGAAATCGTTTGAGGCGATAACATTATACATTGAAGCCTCCCTGTGTGGCCTGTTTACAGAGTTAGTGCGAAATTTAAAAAAAAAGTCCGACGTTGAGCGGACCAGAGTGACCAGCAGTTTTATACCCACGGTTCGTAATTTTATTTAATGTTTTTAAGCTTTAGAAATTAAAAATATTGTTTTCAAAATGTTTTGTGTAGAGAATAAATTGTTTTGACTGTTAAAGAAATGCTAAAGAACGTTGCATGTGATGACGTCAGCTTGCTTGCTCGCGTTCTCGTCAAGTCCGATCTTCCTGCGTTCTCGCCAAGAATGGACTTCACGAGAACGCGAGTACGTACTCGCGTTCTCGTGAATTGAGAAACGCCCTAGAGGCTCAGACCTTTCCAAGGAGGGGTCAGAGGTCATTTCACGGGATGTAAGCAGCATGCTTTACATAAGCTGCTCTGTTATTCTTATTTTCTATTCCGTTTGGTGATTTTATTGGTAAATTTCAATGAAACGACGACTAAATCTTAGGAGCAAAGGCTTTGCCTCATGCAGAAGGTCTCCAATAATGAAAATCAGTATATTTGTTTGACCAGATTCCCTTTTATGAGTGAAAATTTTGTCACTTTTGGCACTGTGCTAAAATCCCATTTCTTCCTAGCTCACTGCTCACTAAAACCATCATGGAACAAACCTGCTTCAACTGATTCAGTCCAAATTAGCTTGACTTATAGTCAAGATGTGGATCTATAAAGTCTGAGGTTCATCCAGAGTTTCTAATGGGCTTTCATGCTGTTTTGCAGAGTTTATTTTGGAAAAGAATTTGTCGATGCTTAATATTTTTCATTTTTTCTGTTTAATGGCCTTTAAATCTAACAAGGTGACATTTAAAATAATGGTTCTACCTGAAAAATATTCCTCAATAACTTTCTGTTTTACAAATACAAACTATTTCCTACTCATAGTTTGGGAGCTGGACTTGGTTTAATTCAGTAAGTAATTTCAGGCAGAATTAGCTTCTAAGAACCTCTGGGCTTAAGGGAATAAGGCACCTTGTTGGAACTGTTCTTCCAAAAATGCATAACATTGACCTTATCTGGGGAATTCCCGAAAAAATATCCACTGGACTTGGTTTCCAAGATTTGAAGACGTTTCGCCACCTCTCCACGTCTTCAAATCTTGGAAACCAAGTCCAGTGGATATTTTTGGAACTTTTACGGAATGACTATGACCTGGATGACTGAGAACCTTCATCAGCTTATCTGGGGAACCAATCAGGAACCAGATCAGGACCTGATCTCTGAGGGAAACAAACTGGGCTGTTTGGTAGAACCAGCTCTCCTTCAAGGATCGAACGTAAACAATTTCCTAGCTTATGCAACCAACATAATTCTCCTTCCCCCAAAAAAATATTTCCACCTAGTTTTTTTAATTCACTATTAATGGGAACCTTTGCTCTGCTGTTCAGGTTGTGGACAGAGGTCTGTTTCACAGAGCAGGTTTAACAAACTCAGATTCAAATCCTCAACTATGAACTGATCCAGTATGAAAAGCCATCATCAGTGGAGCGCAGATTCAATGCATCACCATGACAACAGGAGACAGGAAGTGCCTATTTCACCCCACTGGAAACAAGAAATGTTGATGCAGAAAAAAAAGGAGAATGTTTAAAAGAGAAAGAAACAGCTGCAAAGGAAAGGAAGAGATTGCTGCTGGAGTTAATGCGTACGTTTATATGGCAGGCTGTTTTTCCATTAAAATCATTACATAAAAGCACTCTTCTTTGTGTTGTTCCATTTGTAGATCAGTAAAATTAGATTCTTCCTGATCATAAACAAATTCCTACACTGAACTGTACAATTATACAGAATAAATTACGTTTTTTCTGCAGAAACTGAATTTTAGAAAGTAAAAAATCTAATTTATACTTATAAGTGTTAGGTTTTATATACCTAGAAATGCTGCCAGATTCTAAGTGGCTGTTTTGACATTTATCAGCTTCACTGAAAATGTTTTTATATCTGAAATAAATTTCTTCATAGTCATAATAACACGAATGCTGACTAGTAATTAATTGATAGACATCTAGAATGTTTATTCTAGATGTGAAGAATGTCATTTTGTTTTTTGGTCATTTGGAGAAGGGAACTTTTTTTTTTTCATATATCAGGAATAGATATTCAGTAAAACTGGTCGTCCCATGCCCGTCAGGAGGCCAAGCAATCCTGGAGGTGGGATCCAAAACATGTGAAAGAAAAACATGCTGAGTTTTCAGCTGACAAGTCATTAATTTTCTCTGGTGCAGCAACTAAACCAAACCACAACAATGGCAGACGTGTTTCTTATATAGAGGTGGAAATAAATTGGAAGAACCCATTATAAAAGGATATAAAGCTGCAAAATAACAAGAAAACAAATCAGTTTTCAATGAAAAGCTAATTAAGAAAAATACATTTACCAATCAATACAAAAAACAAAGGTTTTAATTCAACCCAAACAAATACTCAAAACTTAACTAATGAAAACACCATACATGAGACCAAAGCCCCCCCCTTCAACTCTCCAGTGGTGCAGTCCTGTGCACACCTGCTTGGAGAGAGACACAGCAGAGGTGAGTATTTCACAATGAGAGTTAAGAGTTAAGCACAAAAATATATATATATATTATTATATATTGTGTAGTGAAATAAATTTACCTTTTTACAAAAATGAAAACAAGATGTGGCCTAACAGATAAACCAAACTCCAAACAAATCCACTTACGGCTTTATTTCTTGATTGGTAGTGGATCAATGTAGATATTTAGGTGAAATCACCTGTCAGCAGGTGAAGATGAATAAAAATGTTGTTCTAACAGGTATGACCTGTCATTTTGATTCAGTCTCCTTTTACACAGTAAATACTGAGTGGCCATGGGTGTCATCATCCTAATAAATGCTCGTTATTAGCGGTTATCAGTCCCATAGAATGGGAGCCAGGAGGCTCAGTCGGTTGTTATCACTGAATGGACCCTGATCCTAACCCTGAGGTCATTCACTTTTCGCCCGTGGAATTAATTAATCCATTTATGTGTAATCTGAGAATAATTCCAGGAGTTGTTCTGGTATTGTAAAAAATAATGATCAGCATGTCGCTCACATTAGACTTAAAGTGGAGGATTTTCCTGAATTTTTGAAAAGACTCACCCTCAAAATGCAGATGCCCAACCCTGTACCTGCACAGACCTGTTGATTGTAGATTTTACAGTTTGACCATCAGCTGTTAGCAGGTCATTGGCCTGAGCTGACTGCTGTTATCATCTCCTGGGTGGTCCGAGCACTCCTCTGACCTCTGACCAGCTGTCTTTAAAGTTTCAACCAGACGGCCTCATAACCCTTCACACGATGAGATGAGCGGCTCACTGCCGGAGCCTTTCCGCCCTGGCATTGAGAAAACCCCTCCAGGGTCTTCAGATTCTCACATGTGGACCTGTCCTTGCAGCCCAGCCAGCTGTTCTCCCCCACAGAAGGCCTCCTGTTTCCAATCCTCCACTCTGCTCTGCAGGTTGCTGCTGGCTTACAGCTAACAGCGGCTACGCCTCCAGCGAGATGTGTCTGCCGGAGCAGAGCCTGCAGCAGTGCCCCCTGTTGGACACGGAGGTGAAGCTGGGTTTGGTTTCAGAGATCGTATGCTCACAGCCTGTCTGTTTGATTCTGTGCAGGAGGTTCAGGAAGGAACCTCTGAGCAGAGACAGCAGCAGAGGAACATGGTCAGGCATCAGCAGAAGCTCTGATGGAGCAGGGGAGATGGGAACAGGAAGCCCAGGTTGCTTTGCTTCAGGAGAAGAAGCTACAGGAGAGAAAGTAAACAGAAATTACCTCTGGTCCAAATAAGCAAAGGTTCAGAGATGATCTGATCATCTTCCAGCTCCAGCAGCACTTCCACCTACTGTCCTGAGTGAAGGAGCAGCTTCTGCTCTTCAGTTAGAGGCCTTAGAGAAGATCTGGAGTGGTCCAGAAGCTCTCTGCATGCCCAGTGTTAGTGTTGGAAGGTCCTGGGTTTGTAGCCTGGTGACCATGCAGCCATGGATGCTCATCTGAGGGTCAGCCCTGCTCCAGGCCAATCATAAAAGGCTTCAGCACCAGCCGACGGGACTCTGGTTCTGCAGTTTCGATGTTTCAGCCTTCATCTGATGAGCTTCTTCCATCCTCCACAGAACAGATCCGAATAATTACTGTGGAGAAGC